CTCTTTCAGCGCCCGGGTGGTTTTTGGGTTTCTTTTTTTTTCTATATGTACTTATCTTTTACATTTTTTCGTGTGGGTTGAGTGTTTAGACCCATCCATAAAAACCTATTTGTATCTTTAGCCCTCGGGCTTTTTCATTATATATATATATATATATATAATTAAATAACATAATTATTTAAAACAACTTATAAAACTTACCTTACTCGGCTGTCTGCACTACCTAAACTCACACACGAGGTTTTCTTCTCCTTTGGCCTCAATTTGATCCTCTTCGACCTTGATTGGGGCTCGATCTTCGCGCAAAGACCCCAACTTTCCTACCTCCGCCTTCAGTCTCGACACAAAGCCGCACACAAGCGCGGTTTCTTCCCTTCTCTCTCTCTCTCTCTCTCTCTCTCGGGTACAACCCTTTCTCCTCTTTCTACGACCTTCCCTCTATTCTCTCGGTTTCGTTGATTCAAATGAGAGAGAAATATCAAAATAGCATGAAATAAGTCAACCACATAAGGGTGCGTCTTTTCTAACGGCCGACACCTATTTTATTTTTTTATAATAGTTATTATTACTTGTTTAATTGCAATTATTACATAAGATTTTATCAATCATTATCTTCTTAAAGTAGTTTGATTTAGATTGATTTTATTTTGTTTAATTACTTTCGTAAACAATGTTTTTTGCAATTATTTTAGTTTTAATGTAAAAAGTACATGTGGTATCTTATGATGAACAACAAAGATAATAAGTCTTTATCCCACTAAGTGGGTCGGCTACGTGAATCCTTTTCTCCCTTGTATTCTATTGAGCGTTAGATTAAGACCATTTTTTGTGCAATATGGCCAAGTCTTTCCAAGTCTTTTTAGGTATACCCAAGTCTTTTTAGGTATACCACTGTCTTTCTTAACATAGTCGAATCTAAAACATCTACTCTTCTAACCGGATCATCAGATAATTAACATTTAATGTGACCAAAACATCTAAAACCACTCTATCTAATCTTGTCCCTTACTAGAGCTACACCACCCTATCACGAATATATTCATTTTGCATTTTGTTTCTAAGTGTCAAACCACTCATCCACCTAAGCATCATCATCTCAACAACACTTAACTTTATTTTATGCTTCTCTTTGAAAGGCCAACATTCTGTGCATATAGCACTACAGGTCTCACCACCATTTTATAAAATTTTCCTTTCGGTCTAAGCTGCACTTTTCTATCACGCAATAGGTCTGATGCATTCCTTCAATTCAACTAACCAACTTGAATTCTACTAACTGCATCCCCCTCTACATCACCATCACTTTGAAGAATAGACCTAAGATATCTAAAATGTTCACACCTTTTAATGATTTAATCACCTATAGTTACAACTCTGCCACTAGAGCTATTATTACTAAAATTACATTCCATGTATTCAGCTTTAGAGCTACTCAAACGAAGGCCTTAAGACTCCAATGTTGGCTTCCATAATTCAAGTTTTTTCTGAACTTTCTTTAATCTTATCCACAAGAAGGATATCATGAAAAATAAGCATACATAATGGTACATCCTCCTGTAAATGTCCAGTAGGAGCATCCATAACTAAAGCAAAAGATACGTGCTTAAAGCCAATCCTTGATGTAATCCAACTGAAATTAGAAAATACTTGGTGAATCCTCTTTCTATTCGAACATAAGTAACAACTCGAGTATATATATCTTTAATAAATTGTATATAAGTTATATCAACATCTTTATTCTCTAGAACTCTTCAAAGGACTTCTCTTCAAACCTTATCATAAGCTTTTTCTAAGTCAATAAAAATCATATGTAGATCCTCCTTATTCTCTCTGTATTTCTCTATCAAACCTCTCAATAAATGTATAGCTTCCATCGTAGAGTTGCCCGAGATAAATCCAAACTGATTATGATAAATCTTTGTATCACATTTTAACCTATGTTCAGTTACCCTCTCTCATAATTTTAAAGTATGGCAAATCTTAATTCCTCTATAATTTGCACAACAAATGGATTACATAGAGATTTTATTTAAGATTAACTTTGCAATCAGTTTTATTTGATAATGTATAAATGAATCAAATGGAGATTTGAGTCACACACACACACACACACACACACACACACACAAACTATATTTATTTCCGTATTTATTACATTTTCTTATATCTTTTTGATAGATTGAGATTTAAAGCAGATCATACTTATTTTTCAACTCCCAAATTATATTTTAAAAGTTGAAATCCACTTCAAATCTTAACTACTGAAGTCTCAACTACTCAGAAATGGTTGTTGAATGATATAAAATGCGTGAGGATAAGAACTTCCATTCTTCTAACAAGATAGCAGCCTTACTCTATGTAGGATTGATTATATCAAGTTAATTTGGATTTTCTCGAGCATTTGAATGGAAGTCCTTAAGCTGAGAAAGAAAATATCAAATAGATTATTTGAAGTCATATTTGTTTCTTGGGCTTAAGATCATTTTATTTAGGTTGCTTAAACATGCTATCAAATATTTTTTTATTATAATAAATTTTTAATTTATTATTGGAGTTTTTATATACATAGCACACAAAATATTGTTATATACATATTTCATACTCCAAACTTTTATATTACAAAACCCGCTTCCGTTAACTCTTCCATCTCAAAGCTCAACGGATTATCGCCAGTTTGTCTTAAAATCTAACCAATATGGCATTGGTGATGTACTGGCGAGAAGGGCGAGGTGAAGGTTAAGGCGCAAGGTGCTGAGGTGCTGAAAGACCAGTTGTTGGTGTGGTTGTCAGTTGATGAGAAGTAGCAAATGGCCTAAAAATGCGGAGAGTACCAGAGCCAACAATGGAGGTTGGCCACTAAGGGAAGATCCAACCAAAGCCCGACGATCTTCGCTATGAAAATAAAGCCTTGGTAGATTGAATGGAGGGCCTTGTACATGTAATTCTGCTTTCTCTTTATGCTCCTCGCTATATGGTAGATGCTATTGAGCCTCTCCTCCAAAGTTGCCATTGTTGGGGAAGTTACCATGACGACGATAATGTTACCCTTGGATGTCATAGTACGAAAAAACTCACGATCTGTGGTGGAAATGGGAAAAGATGTAGTGAATGCTGGATAAAGAAGAAAAGATGGCTGGGACGGAGTTCACACATGAAACACTATTATTAAAGCCTCCATCACTCATAACTCAATATCCTTCATCTTCAACCTCTCGAACATCTCCTTCAACATAACAACATTTCCGGTTTGAGTTCCTGAACCAGAACGACGAAATTATAATTTTTTTGGCAGTATTTTTCGGTTTTCGACATAGCTGGCAATGGTGCATAAAGCTCAAGTTTCGTGAGAAGTGTTACTCTAATTTCGGTCAGTGGCAGTGCTTAGATGCTACTCACCACAAAACTGTGGGATTTGGTTGGTCAAATTCTGATGCTGATGCTGAGTTGACGCCAGCTTCACAACATTGATCTCCGATGTCTCTAGAACTGGTTCCAACCTCTTCCTCTTATTCTTCCTCTTTGTTTCACCTTACCATTCGCCAATTCACCCATGAATTCCGGTGATTTTAGAGCCATCGACAGCTTCTCGAAATTGAAATAGGGATCCGAAATGTATCCTCTATAGCAGTCATCTCACCAGTTGTGGCTCTTTTACATTGATGCATGTGGAAGATGATAGGGAACTCTCTACCATACTTACAGAAGATAGGTCTTTTTTTATACATCATAGATACCCATATACATACTTTTTGGTTTTCTTCTATAAATTTTTGATTTATTAATCCAAGTTGCAGTTTCAAGAAGGGGTTTCTTGCCGGAACTATTATTTCATAAACTCTTTTGTTCGACTACTCCCCTCCTTGAAGAAGAAGACAAAAAGTTGGTGATTCGAGGAGCTTGGCAATGGAAGCTTTTACGGAAACGGATTTAGCGTGCGTGTTTCATAATATTAAAGTTTAGGATGTGAGATACATAAATAACAATATTTTATTAGCTACGTATGTAAAAATTCCTTTATTATTTTAATTTATGTAAGCTCTCATCACTTAAAACTCTCAAGAATTTACTCCGTTTCATACATCCAGCCTCAACTCTTCAAGTTACGTCATCATCTAGATTTTTATTCTTCTCTATAATAGAGGAGAGATTTTTGGACTTATTACACCTAACTTTATCTTCCAATATTATCAGATGATAATTGTTAGCTGCAAATTCTAATACAATTAGAGTGCATCAACCTCTTTCCTTCACATCCAATAAGAAAATTTATACCTTTTTCTGTCTTTGAAAATTACGGTTTACCGTCCTTTTGGAAGCTTTTGACAAATCTTTCTTAAGCTGTAATAACCATAGAGTCGAGGTTGGATTTCTTAATGCATTAAATTTTGATTATAAGTTTACTGAAGCTAACCAATATTCCAATGCCGAGAGCTACTTTTTAGGAATTATTTATAATAAGTTAGTTTAAATTTTTCCTGGATTCACTATGAAAGAAAGACTTCGTATTGCAGATCTCAGAGCACTACATTACAAGAATTCCAGATTCAGTCCACCAGAGTAATCAGTATGAAAGAGACGTGCGTTACCTCTCTTTGGATAAATTTTGTTACATAGAATTAAGGACTTTTTACATTTGCTTGAGAAGTGCACTCTATTTATTTTCTGATGAATGTTCTTCCAGGTGACAGAAAGGTGTATAAATGAAACAGGAAAGACATTACAGGGTGTGCTTTCGGAATGGTTTGCAAAATTCATTAACCGAGAAATTGGTAAAAATTTTTCTTGCTTAGAAGTGGTGAAATGGCTAGTTCTTATTTTGCATGGGCCAATATTTTTATCATTTGCTTAAGCCTTTTTATCATTTAGCTGAATTTGCTTTTGTTTTTAATTACTTTTTTGATTATTTTAGGCAAGTGGATATCTATACTTCCATGAATTTAAGTTAACAAAAAATTTACTAACCTCTATGTGCACAAAGATACACATGAACCATTCAAATAGGGGCGGAGCTAGAAAATTTTTTCTATTGAGTCATAAACTAATGACTTAAAAATTCCCACTATTTTTTTTCAATCAGGCTTAGAATCTAATATGAAAATGATAAATATATGTCAAGTAAAAAATTACAAAAAGCGTTACTGATAATTTCTTCTTTGAATTTTTATATGTTGAAACTAATGTTATGGCGTGGGTTTAAAGTAGTAAGCCTGCTGTGTGGGCTTGAGGTGCGGCAAATAGCTAGCAACTTACACTTAATTCTGACAGGAACCATTCCAATTTACTGGTTTTCATTACAGTCCTTATAAATTCAATGAAACGACTATCAATTAAGAAATCATTATAAAAACTATTCACTAATGATACAAGAAAAATTAATTTTGATTTAAAAACTGTATATCGAAAAATAATTGATTTAAATTTATATCATGTCCTGTATTTTTTTTAATCCAAATATGATGACTTTATAATTTTTTAAATCTTGTAACCTATGTTTAAAAACATGAAAAGTATAGATTAGTGGTGGCATATTTTTTACCAAAAAATAATTCTCATTCGAAAATATTCAAGCAGAAAAAATGCCTTTATGATGGAAATTCAATCATTATTTCTCTGTTTCTCATTTGACTAGGGCACAAAAATCAAGAACTAGAGCCTTGGCGCTTGTTCTGGGCGCCTAAGCGACCTAAGAGCAATAGGGGTGCTCAAGCGCTAGTTTTGGGCTTCTAGGCCCTTTAAGCCAGAGCAACAAACGCCCAGGCACCAGTTTTGGGTGCTTAAAGCCAAAGCAACAGACGCCCAGGTACCAGTTTTGGGCGCTTACGCGCCTAAAATGACCTAAAATTTACCCGAGCAAGCAGAAAACCAATGCTCCAGGCCAGTGCTCAGGCCCCCGTATGTGCGGAATTATAGTTTGGGATGTTTCATTTGTGTCGTTTTGTGGGGGGTAGCTTAAATTCATCTAATACAAAGTATCGAGGACTGTTGGCAGATTTTGGCAGATGTTGGCAGATGAGAGAAATCAAAGAACGCGAATAGAAAAGAAAGTGTGTGAGGAGAGTGACTCTCTAAGTGTAATTGTGAGACCTTATGAATGTTCCAATATGATTGTAAAGTGTGTGCAAGTGTGCAATTGCAAAAAGGAAAAAATTAATTAGAGCGAGCAAGGAATTATTGGGTTTGAATTGTTCTGAAATGCTTGTAATTCTCTTTTCTATTTGCAATGAAAGTGTTTGTGTTTTTTTTTTATAATTTTTCGTAACTAAATTGTATCTCTTTTTATTAGAGTCTAGGAATTGAAGATTTAATCCATGAAATAGTAAAATCTTTAAATTTCATGTACAAGATGATATGTTAACCTTGCATGTTTAATTTACTTATAAATTGATCATTAAAAAAGTTAAAACAAGTATCTAGTATTAAAAAAGTAGGCTATTGGAACGATTATGTTAACATACACGGGTGTTGGGGAATAAGAAAATTATTGCTAGATCTGTGCAATTATTTTGGGAAATTGGTAAACACTGGGATTTTGCATGATTAATGGAACATAATTATAATATGAAATTCTAATTTTTTTTATAGACTTAGAAGAGGCTAGGAAATAGGGTTGTTCCTGATTATCATCTATCTTGAAGTAGATTGCAAATATTTTGTTTACTTAAGCAAATTGCAGCAAGCAACGGATGACGGCGGCGGGCGGCCACAACGGTGGTTGCTTGCGGCAGCCGACGACTAGTGGAGGTAGGCGATGATGGCGGGTGGGCGGCCAATGACGGAGGATGGTTGAGAGCGGAAGAAGTGGGTGGGCGGGTGGCGAATGCGGCAGACAAGCGGAAGCAGCGGCCGGGGCGAGCGAGCAACGACAGGCAGACGAAGGCAAGGCAAGCGGTGGCTACGAGCGGCGGCAGTGTGCTGGCGGCGGTGGCAGCATGCAGGTAGCGAAGGCGGGCAATCTATAACATTTTACATAATGATGTAATTCACATTCGGCCAAATTGGCCGACTTCTAAATTCAGCCAAAATGAACTATGGTGTAAACTTCAAATTTATTAAAACTTTATATTGTATTTGTAAATTTTCATAACAAACACAAAATTTTCTCAAATTCATGCAAAAGATTTACAGTGCACCACTAATTCACTCAAGCAAATATCCCCTAAGGTATACAAGATTCTATCTTGAATATGTTAAGGACTTCTCTAAAATTTCTAAACTTTTGTGTCATTTATTAGAGGACGTGCCTTTTGATTTTGATTAAAATGCATTGCCGCTTTTGAAATCTTGAAAAAGAAATTAGTCAATGCACCTATGATTGTTGCACCTGATCGAGATCTTCATTTTAAACTTATAGGTGATGCTGGTGACTACACTGTATGAGCAATATTAGGCTAGAGGAGAGAGATGATTTTTCATGCTATATATTGTGCCAATAGGACTCTTAATGAGGCCCAAGTAAACCACATCACCATTAAAAAAATAATTACTGACTATAGTATGCATGGGAATTTTAGTTCCTATTTGATTGGTACCAAAGTTAAAGTTTACACTGAGAACTCTGTTTTTAAATATCTTGTTATTTAGAAGGATTTCAAATTTCATTTGATCAAATGAGTTTTATGCTACAAAAATTTGATATTGAGATAGTGGATAGGAAGGATATTGAAAATTAAATAGTGGATCACTTGTCTTGACTTGAGCAGGAAAACTTTGAGGATTCATCTGTTAAAGTTAATTTTATACATCTGACATATCACAAAAGGAAAAAGTTCATTTTGATGACAAATTCTACTATTAAGATGAGTCCTATCGTTTCAGAAAGTATAATGATCAAATTATTAGGTGTCCCTTTTAAAGTGGTTTTTGAAATTATAAAATTTTATCATGATTTGAAATTTGGGGGGCACTTCGAATGTTTTAGAACTACTTCTGAGATACTGCAATCAAGATTTTATTGGCCTATTCTATTCAAGGATGTAAATGATTTCATAAGTTGATGTGATAAATGCTAGAGGGGAGACAATATTTCTAGAAGAGGTGAGATGGTCTTGAATTTTATTTTGGAAGTGAAAATTTTTTATGTTTGGGGGATTGATTTTATGAGACCGTTTGTGCCTTCTCTAGAAAATCTCTTCATTTTAATATTGATAGACTTTGCCTCTAAATTTATTCAAACAGTGACTTTACCCAAATTTGATTCCAAGAGTACTCGAGAATTTTTGAAAAATTATATTTTTAGCATTTTTGGAACATCTATGGTGATTATTAGTGGAGAAAAGCACTTTTGCAATAAGAGAATAGAGATATTAGTAATGCAGTATGGAATTAAGCAAAAAAAAAAAGATACTGTTTATTACCCTAGTATTAGTGGATTAGTAGATGTATCTAATATAGAAATTAACAGAATTTTGAAATAAGTGTTAATCGTAGTAGAAAGCCTGGTCACCGAGGTTTGATTTTTTATGGGTTTATATTACAGGTTATAAGGCACCCATAGAAATGTCCCTTTATAGGTTGATTTTTTTAAAGGCTTGCCACTTATCTATTGAATTAGAGCATAAAGCCTACTGACATTTAAGGAATTTAATTATAGTCTGAAGGATTCGACAAAGAAAAAATTATTGCAGTTGAATGAATCGAATGAAATTAGAAAGGAAGCTTATGATTATTGTAAGATTTCTAAGGAAAAAATGAAGAAATGACATGATCAGAAGCTCATTAGGAAATATTTTAAATTGAGACAAATTTTTACTATACAATTCAAGATTAAGATTATTCTCGGGAAAACTTAAGTCCAGGCGATCATGTTTGTTTACTGTCGAGAAAGTATACCCTTTTGGAGTTCTCAAAATCAAAGATAGAAAATCTGCTTGAATTTTTAAGGGTAATGGTCAAAGCTCAAAATTGTATTTAGGAAGTGATAGGATTAGTCCCAGAGATCCTGACTTTGGGTCATCTTAAATAGTATTTCTAGCATTGTTTGGCTTATGACACTAAACAAAGTGTTACTTGGGTGACAATCAAAGTGTTATCTATTGTGTATATTGACTATTTGCTTAGTTGTTAGCTTTAATTTCTTTTGTTAGATGTTTTTGAGTGTGTATGTGCTTTCTTCTCATCATTATTAATAATATTTTTGGAAGTGTGATTAAGGTGTTTTAGGGTTGTAAAAAGATAGGTGATTGTGATTTCAAAACATAACACCCCTGTGTCCTAGCTTGGCGTCTCAATGCTTCACCCAGGCTTGCCAATGCTTGGCGCCTAAGTGCTGGCCATCGGTAGATCCCATGTGCCTTAATGAGTGCTTAGGTACTTGGACCTTGGTAGCACCCCAACATTAGGTCCAGCCTTGGCATGTGAAATAGTTCTGTGTAATCTGTTTTGTGCGCTGTTTTTTGATAAATCGACTTTCATATTTGAAGCAATGAAGTTTAATCCTCATTTATATTTCTCGAGCGAACCTTGCCCAAATAGCCCATACAAAAGTTGGAGTAAGTGCAGCTGCTATGGTTTCCTAATTTAAATGTGAGATTTTTTTTTGCATTCCTTGAACACTCTTCGAATCTTTCGCTCTCTTTGAATCATCTGTGATTTTTTTTTCTTTCTCCTCATTTTAGTAGCTTTCATTTCTTTAGCTTCCATGGCTCGTAAGACTAAAGGTGGGAAAGAAAACCTCCTTGACACCAAAAAGTTTGTTAGTATCGAAGCTGCAGACGATATAATAATTTATTAGTGTCTAAAAAGTTCATACCGGAGAGAGAATTTATCGAGC